GGCCTTTTTTTGAAATTGAGGCGGAAGCCTTTTTAACTTTAGAACTTTTGTATTTTGTATGTGTTTAAAACCAGCACCACGTGGATGACATTAAGGTTTGTTGTTACCTGGAGTAGTATTGAAGCTGCTTTTTGTTTTTTTCTTTTTTTCTTTTTGGCCATAGGGGTTGAGTGTCTGGATTGCTGGGCACTCTGAATTTAATTTTGAGGAGCAAATTTGTTACGTTCTGGCCATAATTTTGGAACCTGGGGTGGCCATGCCACGAAGTTGGTGCTCTACAGCCCTTTTTTATAAAGTCTTTTATATTTGTAGTTTTGAGGTTGTAATGGGTGGAGACTTGTTTTTCTGTGATGTCTTTAGGCTATCTTTTTTATTTTGTTTTTTTTTCAGCAATGGACATTTTTTTAGCTTTCTTTTCATAATTTATAGCTTTATTGGAGCTTTTCTTTTCATCAAGCATAACATTTTAAATTATCTTTCTTGGCTTTTTGTTTTTGATTTTTAATATAAATCTGGCAAAAAGCCCCTAAAATAATCATGTCACTGTCTTAACATTTGATAGTCTTGTAAATTTTTTTGCCAGATTAATTAGTCTGCCACCTTTAAACTCAGTTTTAGGCAAAATTTTTGGACACAAGCAAAATGTACGCAAATTTTTGTCCACCCATAACATATACTGTCTGGTGTCTAGTATATAATATAGTCTTTTTTTTAACAGAAACCTCTCAAACCTGGTTTTTACCAGCAGGATTTTTATCAGCCTTTTGGACTTCTGAGTTTTGACTAGAATCTCTCAAACAGAACAGGCTAAGGTGTTTTAACTTTATTTTGTAGGCAACATCTTTGAACTTCTTTAAACTCTTTTTATAAGCTATTTTTTAAAGGCTCTTGAACCACATGGTTAGGTATAGGCACAGTAATAATCCCACTCCTGGTACCAAACTCTGTTCTGGTTATTTTGTTGTTGTTGTTGAGACAAAATATCTGATGCCCAAAACTAAGGAAGGAAAGGTTGATTTAGCTCACAATCTGTGGAGGCTTTAGTTTATATTTGGCTGGCTTTAAGGCAGAGTGGCACAGGGCAGAGGGCTATAGCTCACAGTGGGGGAAGATAGCAAAAGCAACCAGAGCAAATGGGAAGAGTGGCAGAGAAGAGCAAGCCTCTTTTCTTTCATATTGGAAGCAGGATATCCCTGCCCAGGCAGCATGTAGCACTTATATAATCTTCATGTCTTTTTTTTTGTATAGGCTCAGGATGAATATGAAGTAAGCACCCTGGCTCCCTGCTGACTCACATAGTTAACCCTTTAAACTTTTTAAACTGATACAATGAACAACATCTCAGAAAGGTAAGGGCATGGTTTTTTACCCCAGGATATAGAACTGTTGAGTTATTTAGTCAAACCTCTAGACTCGCCAAGTTAATTTTACAGGAAACCTAGAGCCTCTAATTTTAAAGATTTTGCAGTTTCTAAACAGAAAATTCTCAAACCATAAAAGATTAATACAAATTGGGACTGACAACTCAAGTAAAGTAGAATGTTGAAAACTCAGTGTTTTCAGCAAGAATGAATACCTAGGAAAAAACTTACCCCCACTGAAAGACTAAATGGTTTCCCTTTCTCAACTCCAGGCTAGAAGAAAAGAGAGGAAAAAAAGATTATTTCTGCTTAAAAGGAACTATATCTTACACACATGGGTTCTGAATTTGAATCTACACTACCACTAAAGTGGTAGGCCAGAAAAATATAAACCAATAAAGTCACTTAAAATGGTTGTATTATGGTGGTATGTGCCTATAATCCCAGAACTCTAGGAGGCTGAGACAGGATGATTTCAAGTTTTAGCCCTGCCTGAGCAACTTACTCACTTAGACTTTGTCTGAAAATAAAAAGTGAAAAAGGGTTGGGGATGTAGCACAGTGTGAATGCCCTAGGTTCTATTTCCAGTACCACAAAAAAGTGTTCTCTAGATTTGCAACACATTAAGTACAAGAAAAAAGTAAATACAAGGTCTTGTTCAATTCTCCTGAAGGAGAGACTCATCATGAAATGCCCAGAGATGTAGATCAACTATACATGAAAGTATGATAGAGTGTGTTAAGCTTCCATGGACCTAAGCTAACATGACTGGGATCCACGCAAAATAACAGACAAAGGATCCCCAAGGACTCATTGTATTGGATTTTTCTGATGCTAATCTTGAAAGAGCTCTGGAACACAAGCAAAGACCATGATAACAGGCAGACCTGAAGGACTACCAAATAAAATTGTAGAAATTAAAAAACAGTGATTGAAATTAAAACCTCAATGGACAGATTAAACTGAAGATTAAATCCAGCTGGATAAAGAATATGTAAACTACAAAATAAGAGAAAAATACAGAAAGAGAAATAATTTTAAAAAGTAAAGTAATATTACTAGGGTTTGAATTGAGCAGTGTCCTCCACAATTCTGTATGTGAGAGAACTGGTCCCCAGGGTGACACCATTGGAAAGTAGTAGAACATGAAGGGCCTGTGGGAAATCCTGAAGGTCACTGGGGTGCTCCTCTGAAGGAAACTCTAAGATCCCATTCTCTTTTTGCCTCACTCTTTGCCTCCTGACTCACAAGGGGAGTGGTTTGATCTATCACATATTCCTGCCATGATGTACTGCCTCCTGAGAGGCCCAAAGAATGCTGCCACTTGATGTTGGACTGAAATCTCCAGAGACGTAAGCCCCCCAGAAGCATTTCTCTTTATAAGTTCATTTCCTCGGGTATTTCATTATAGTGACAGTGAGCTAATACAAGTATTAGAGAAAACAGAAGAACAACAAGGTCAAATATGTATCTGATTAAAGAACCAGAAGGACAGTACAAAAGATGGAGGAAGAGGAAATATTTTAAAAGATTATCAGTTCAAGTTCCCCAGAATGGAAGGAAAGACATTTTTTCTCAGATTTAGGAAGCATAATAAATACTGAGACAGAGCTATAAGTACAAATATACACCTATGTATATCATAGTGAAGGAAGTAGGTTGAATGGTAGAACCACAAATGGATATGCATTTGTCCTAATCTCTGGAATTTATGAATGTGACCTTACTTGGAGAAAAATTCTTTGCAGATATAATCAAGTTAAGCACCTCAGGATGGGGTATACACTAACAGGCATGCTTATAAGAGTAAGGAAGAGCGAGATCTGTGATATAGACACAGGGGAAGGCCATGAGAAAACCCATATGCAGCTGGAGGCAAAGATTGGGGTCATCCTGCTACAAACTAAAAAACACCTTATTGTTAAAAGAGCAGAAATGTTAACAGAGTATAATTTAAAAAAAAAAAAAAAAAACTTGTTTAATAGAGAAAGAAAAGTAGAACATGCATAATCTTCTAAAAGGATTCCTTGTCCTAATTTTTTGAAAAAAACAGAAAGGAAGGCTGGTGCAGGATTATCACTTGAACCCAGGAGCTCAAGGCCAGCCTAGAAAACACAGTGAGATTATTAAGAAAAAAAAAAAAAAGGAGGAGAAAAAAGAGGAGAGAAAAGGACAAAGAGGAGGAAAAAGAGAAGGCTCAAGAAGATAGGAAGAGAAGGAAGAAGTACTATTTAAAAGTCACATTTTGCTAGAGATGTAGCTCAGGGCTACAGTGCTTGCCTAACATACGCAAGTCTCTGATTCCCAGCACCACAAAGAATTTAAAAATGAAAATGTGAAAAAATGTCAAATAGTAACATTTCAGTACTTGGACCAAAATGTACAAGAATGTTTGAGGGCTAAAGACAGTACCTGAGGTAAAAGTACATTTTCCAAATCCTTATTTACTTCAGTTCTTTTACTATGCAGATGAACTTGCAAACTTTTCTTTCTCCGGACTTTTTTTTCTCCTGAAAACTCAGATTTTTCTTCTCTACATATGAATAGTGAGGCTTCATACCTAAATCACATAGAAATTAGAAAGAAATTCTGAATTTTTGATTTTCAACTTTTATTATGGAAACTTTCAAACATATACAAAAGTAGACAGAATAATCCGATGATCTTCTCATGAACCCATCACTCAGCTTCAAAACAATGGTGATCTCATTGCCAATGTCCTTATGCCTGGTCACAGCCTTTAGTATTGTAGAGTAAGTTCCAGTATCATATAATTTTACCTGTAAAGACATTTTTTTTTGTCTTTAGAGACAGGGTCTGACTCTGCAGTTCAGGCTGGCCTTGAACTCACTTTGCAGCCCTGACTGGCCTCAAACTCATAGAAATCCTCCTGCCTCAGCCTCCCAAGTGCTGCAATTACAGGTATGCACCACCACACCTGGCTTGCAAAGATTTTTAAAGCACATCTTTTTATGACTTTTTTCTTTAAAAATATTTAAAACATCACTATAATACCAAAAAAGAGGCATTTCTTTTGTTTGTTTTGTTTTTTGTTTTTTTCCGGTACCAGGAATCAAACTCACAACCTTGTGACTGCCAGGCAGGCGCTGTGCCGCTGAGCTAAATCCCCAGCCCCTGAGAGGCATTTCTTGACATCATCAGATATATAACCAGTGTTTACATTTCCAATTTTCTCCTAAATGTCACAACACTTTTTTTAGAAATTATAAAGTGATTTTTATTGATGTCTTTTCTCACTTTCCCAATTCATTGCAATAAACAGTAAAACAAACTAAGAACAAATTAAGTAAATGAAGATTATAATAATCAGAACTATTTCTCAATTGTGAAAAGTCAAAAATAGAAAACAGAAGTAATATTGTCCAGGAATTCTACTAGTGAGTATTTCCCCTTACATTTTATATTGTAAAAATCAGAGAGGCACTCAATGGATGACTGTGAAGAAATATGACAAATTATTTAGCATATGCAGTATACTGAAAATTACACGTATTTTACAGCAGGATTCAATAAAGTTCCCATTTCACAGTTGGTTTATATGTCTTTTAAATCTCTTTTCATCCTTAGCCTCTCCTTCTACTTATTATTATTATTAATACTAGCAGTAGTAGTGATAGTCATGGTGGTGGTGCTGGTGGTTTCAGTAATGGTGGTGGTAGCAGTAGTAGTAGTGGTAGTATTGCTATTATCAGGTCATTTGTCCTATAGATTTTCCAGTCTGAATTTTGTAAAGTTTCATTGTGATAGTAAGTTTCTAAAGGTTTGATCATAGTAACACTTTAAGGGGAGTGCAAGACCACTTTGTTTTTGTGGTAGTGTTTCTCTAGCAAAAAGCATATCATGTCTAATTGGCTTTCCATACCATTTTGAAAACGTGGATGTAACTATATTTGTTGAAAACTATACAGCAATCGGATGAATACAATTAGTCTGAATCAAACCGGGAAAGAACAGACCTATACTCTTGGAAATTGCATACTTTACTTCAAATAATCCAGAGCAGATTAAATTTCAAGGACAACCTTAAAATTGTTTTTGCACTTCTGGCACCTCATAAATTAGGAATGATTATGGGATCAACTAGATCCCAAACTTGTCTTCACAAGTTGCAATCACTGGGGAGCTTCAAAAAATATGAAAACGTAAGCCCAACCTAAGCCCTATTCCTAGACATTGTGTTTTAATTATTTGGGGGTATGGCCATATATTTGGTTTTTTTTTTTAAAATACCCAGGTAATTCCCACATGCAGACAACTTAAGAATCACTATAGCTTACTCCTATCCAGGTCGCATGCATGTCAACTGGACTGTAATTCATATTTCAGAGTAATACCTTACAACTCCTTGTGGTAGGCAAAACTAAAACTTCTTTAGCAGAAACGCCTCCTTTTAGAGCAATCTTCTATGCAAAGCTTGCTTAGGTAATACATAGGACAATGACTAGATCATATATGTAACAGCTTTAATAAAATTAGCCCTAAGCCAAAGTGCAATAAAGGAAACTTTTATCATATACCCAATTGTCCTTCCTTAGCAGATACCTTGTCCTTTTGATACTGTATCCCTTTTAAATACAAGCCCCCAAATTCCTACCCTGAGACCCCATGATCTTACTCTTAGCACCCTAAAGCTGCCCTGTGATTAATCCCCCTACAGTCCTTTAGGCTCAAAGGCAATCACTTTCAACAATTTTGACTATGACCTACAGACTAAAATACACTTTCTATTGAGAAACACTACAGAGGTAGGAAGAGGAACAGAGAGGGGACAAAGGAAAGGAGGTAGAGCGTAGACATGAGACAGAAAAAGAAAATATAACAGAAACTATTTCCCAAAACAATACTTATGTAAAAACACTCTAATGTCTTCAATTCTATTCTAATCTATTTCCTTCAAGAAGAAAAAAAAAAACTAGTAATGACCTCCCTGATTTTATGACTCATTAATGCGACACAACCTAGAGTCCACAGCTGCTTTATCCCCTCTATGCTCTCCCCATATATCCATACTGAAATTGAGTCTTCCTATTTCTGGTTAAGTCATGGGTCATGTGTCTCTCAAGGCACTAACCTATTTTGATCAATGCAAATGAAGGGTAAAGGGACATTCCCAATACCTTCCATGCATTCCCAGAAGTTTTATTGCTGTCTTCTAGAAAAACATGCTTTGCTTTTCCTCATCTAACAAACAGAAGCAGTGGTAGAAATGCTGTTAAATAAAACAGAAACAAACTCATGATAAGCAGAAGAGATTTCAACTGAAGTGCCTCTTCAACTATAACACACAGATAATTTCCAACTTTACTAACTAGTAAGGGTAGCATGTAGCTGGAAAAAGATAAAGTGAGATAAACCCTGGATGCTTTCTCAAAGGCTTTCTTTTTCCAATAAGCATTTTTTCAGTCTTTTATAAATACTAAAAATAAAGATTGAGTATTACCCTAGATACATATGAAATGCCAGAGCTTCTCTTATAACTAACAAAAGGCAACCAGTGATACACAAGAAATAACTATGAAAAGATTTAAATGGTTTAATTTCACAGAAACTAAAAACCCAGTGCTAGCTGGAGAGCTCTTCTGTTTCCTTCCTAATTTCTTTTTAAGACAAACTTACAGCTATATGGTTAATTACTTTTCTTTATCTGGAATCCTGTGATAGTTTATAGGCTTCCATGTGGCAGTGGCAGAGTGAGAAAAAGTGTCAGAATGGCTGCTGAAGAGTTAAGCTATGCTCCTAAAAGAACGGCCACATATGCGCAGGGTCCTATACACACTATACACTATGAGAACACATAATCTATATGTGGTGCACCCTTAAACTTGCAAAAGCATAATTCAATAAAATAAGTTCAGAGTTTTTAACTTACTTTTTCTTGCATTCTAGGCTCAAATTCTTAATTTCAGATGAATTTTTCTTCTCAATTGTTTTAGAAAATTTGATGTATTTCTTGTTTGCAGTATTTCTTGATGGCAAGATGGTTGTGAAAGAATTAGATCCCTTATCTAATAAGTCAATATTTTCTTCTGCCTGGCAACAACAGAGACACAACATTCATGTTCTCTTCGCACACATACACTAAATATAACATTCTGTGCGGGTAATTCATTTTAGATCAATACGCCTTTTAAAATATCTCTTTTAAAATTCCTTTTGTTGGGGCTGGGGATTTAGCTCAGTGGCAAAAGCGCCTGCCTGGCAAGCGCAAGGTCATGAGTTCGGTTCCCGGTACCGGAGAAAAACCAAAAAAAAAAACAAAAACAAAAAAAAATAAAATAAAATTCCTTTTGTTGAAAGGGGCTTTATTCATTAGTGATTATTATCCTAGATTAAGTACATAATCTAAATATCAGTTTTTCTTAATGCATTATGCATTACAAAATGCACAGCATTCATGAATATAGCTAACAATATTTGAATCAAATTTTTAAAGCATTAGTTGCAAAAGTTTACTACATACTTTAAAAGGAATATTTGTATCAAAATTAAATATATTTTAGATGCAAACTAAAGTCATAAAACATGAAGAAATAACTGATAAGCTAAACTAAATTAAAATTTAAAACTTCTGGTCTATAAAAAGTGTTATCAAAAGAATGAGAGTTCAAGCCACAGGGAGAAAATACTTGTAAAGGATATAACTGATAAATCACTGCACTCCAAACCATGCAAACAAACTCTTAAAGTATAAAAGTAAGAAAAAATATATAAGGGGCTGGGGATTTAGCTCAGCAGCACAGCGCCTGCCCGGCAAGTGCAAGGTCATGAGTTCGATTCCTGGTACCTGAAAAAAAAAATGAAAAAATATATATAAAAGTAAGAAAAAGGAAACTCAATTTTTTTAAATGGGCTAAAGAGCTGAACACTTATACAGATGGCAAAGAAGCACATGAAAAGATGCTCAACATCAAACATCATTAGGAAATAGAGGCTGATTTCAAGATATACCATAAAAGTACTGTAATCAAAACAGCAAAGTACTGGTGTTAAAACAGACACATCAACCAACTGAGGAAGACAGAAAACACAAAATAACCCAAGTATTTAGGATAAACTGGTTTTCAACAAACACACAATAGGGGAATGATATCTTTAATAAATGGTAGTTGGAAAACGGCATGTTCACATGCAGAATGAAATCAGGCCCTTATCTCACATCATATTTATTGGTCAGCTTTCCCACTGCTGAGACAAAATACCTGACACCCACAACGTAAGACAGAAGTCCATCTGGGTTCACAGTTTCAGAGGTTGCACTGCTTGGCTGGCTGGCAGCAAGTCAGGGACATCATGGCAGATGGAAGGAAGATGCTCACCTCACCACAGAAGCAGAGCAAATTGAAAATTGCCAGAAAGGAAAAGGCTAGGGACCTAGGAAAAGACTACAGTCCCCAAGGTCACACCCTCCCATGACCCAGTTTCTCCCACCTGGCCCCACCTTCTCATAGCCCATTTAGCTATGAACACGTCCATGGGTTAACCCATGGATGACGTTGATCCCCCTATACTCCAGTCTCGTAATCCAGTCAAACTGACAATCAAGACTGCCCAGCACACCACAGGAAAAAGATCAACTCAAAACGGGAAAAAGAAATTGTAAAACTGGGGCTGGGGATTTAGCTCAGCGGCACAGCACCTGCCTGGCAAGCACAAGATCATGAGTTCGATTCCCAGTACCAGAAAAAAAAAAAAAAAAAAAAAAAACAAAAAAGAAATCGTAAAACTGCTAGTGGAAAACCTAGGGGGAAAACTCCATGACACTAGTCTGGGAAATTAATTTACTTAAAAATATGATCCTCAGAGCACAGACAATAAAAACCAAAATGGACTACTAGTATTGCATCAAACTAAAACTCTGAAAAGCAAAGGAAACAATTAACAGATTGAAAAGACAATCCACACTGTGGGAAAAAAATATTTGCAAGCCATAGACCTGATAAGGGTTAACATACAAAATATACATACAAAATAATATGTACTCAACTCAATAGCAAGAACATAACTGAATTTTAAAATGGGCAAAGAATCTGAATAGATAATTCTCAAAAGAATACACACAAATTAAATAGTTTTTTTAAAAATGCTCACTATCTCTAATCACTAGGGAAATGCAAATTAAAACAACAATGAGATATCACCTCACACCTGGCAGAAAAGCTATTATCAAGAAGATGAAAGATAGTAAGTGTTAACAAGGATATAGAGAAAAATAAACCTTTTAACACTGTCATAGGGGAAAGAAATTAGCATTATCCAGTTTGGAAAACAGTATGGAGGTTCCTCAAAAAACTAGAAATAGAATCACCACATAATTATGCAATCCCACTTCTGGGCATATACCCAGAAAAATTGAAATCAGTATGTTAAAAAGATATCTGCACTCCTGTGTTCATTTTAGCAATATTCACAACAGCCAAAATATACAGCAGAATGACCCTAAATGTCTATCAGTGGGTAAATGGATAAAAACATATAGACATAATAGAATACTAAAGAGACTTAAAAAGGATAATCTCACTTATATATGCAATCTAAAAATGTTAATCTCATAAAAACAGTAGAAATGTATTTATCAGAGGCTCAGGGAGCAGGAGGGACAGGGAAAGGGAAGATGCTGATTAAAGGGCACAAAGTTTCAGATAGGCTAGAGGAAAAACTTTCAGTGACTCACTGTACTGCATGGTGACAAGAGTTATTAATAATGTACTGTAGCCAGGCATGGTGGTCCATGCCTGTAATTCTAAGTACTCAGAGGCTGAAGCAGGAGGATCCCCAGTTTAAGGCAGGAGGATGACAAGTTTAAGCAACTTTGTGAGACTCTGTCTCAAAAATTAAAAAATAAAAAAGGGTAGGGGTGTAGCCCAGAACTTCTTGAGTTCAATCTCCAATACCACAAAATAATAAGAACATAGTACATATTTCAAAATGCTAAAAGACTATATTTTAACATTATTAAACCAAAAAAAGTGAGGTGATGGAAAAGTTAGAGTCACTCAATAACATATACATAAGAAGAAAAAGTACATTGTAGCCCATAAATGTACACTGTTATTATTCATCAATTTTAAATAATTTCTTTGCCTGGCATGGTGGTGCATGCCTGCAATCCCTACTCTTGGCAGGATAAGGCAGGAGGATTGCTGTGAGTTCGAGGCCAGCCTGGGCTACATAAGTTTCAAGGCCAGCTTGAACTACACAGGAAGAACCTGTCTTAACAGAAGAAAAGTTTTTTAATAATTTTTAAAATTCAACAATAACAAAAAAGAATGGCTAACATCTAAAATATTAACATCGGCAAAGGCAAACAAGGACATGAAGCAAAAGGAACTCATTCATTTCTGGTGGGAAATGCAAGATGGTATAGCCACTTTGGAAAACAGTTTAAATCCTTTGATCTCCTAAAAAAGTGCCCAGATCCCTACCCTCAAAACACATTCTCATCATCCAGCACAGAAGCTTTCTTAGTACTATGTGGGTTGCTAATAACAGTCCAACACATGTCCACTAAAAGAGCTCAAAAGTAGGAGTTGTTAGGCAGGTTTCTTAGGACTTTATTACACTCTACATTTACTTAATAATCATGGATTATGATACTGTAAACTAATTTTAAAAGGAGATCTTTAAAAACTGTCTTGAATAAATACCTGGAAGAATAAATGTGCTTTAGTTTCCATCTTTCTGTTTAGAGAGAATTTCTGCTCTTCAGGATTCAAAGGCTTTGATTAACAAAAGCGAATGAGCAATAGTACAAAAGGAATTCCTGTCAGAAAGAGGAAAACAGAAAGGAAAAAATCATATACCTGTTCAGGAGACTTAAGTAATTATATTTACATACCTGAATTTATCACTTCAGTGTAATACTCAGGGTATAATATCTAGTAAATTTCAACTACACAAATACGTGGACAAAAGCTACAAACAGCAGTTAGTAGATCATAAATCACAAACAATCACTCAAAGCATTAAACTTTGACTTTCGTGATTAAGAAGCACAGAAATGCATGTGAAGTGGCATTAAAAAAAAACAGAAAAATTACATTTATTTATTCAAGGGAGCCCTAATAATTAGAACTGCTGAAACAACAATCACTGTATTACTGAATGCTGTGATGTGCTAAACACTTCAACATGAATTATTTTATTCACTCCTCAAAGCTATCCTTAAAAGTCATCCTTATTTTACAGATGAGAAAAAGACTTAAAGATATAAAGTTCCCCAGATTACACAGCCAGCAAATAGCAGAATCAGAATTAGAATTGAGGCAATACAACTCCAAAGTCCACGGTCTTCAGCTCCCGGAAACACTGCCTCCCAAAACAATGCTACTATAGACAAAAGATGTTTTAGCCTGGCTTTAACTTTCACATTATGTATATATAACCACCAACACTTTAGAAATTCCCAAATTTTTCACAATGTTATTCAAATCGGAGCCACATTTGATGATTCACTACACTGTTGTTATATTATATTGCAATTCTACTTGCAACTATACATTTCTTTTTCATATTGTGAACTATTAATACTGCATCCAATAGAGAGATGGTACTTTAAAATCATTTCTATTTCTGAAATACATTATAGAGTTACTTTTGAACATGACATGTCTACCATCTCTGGAACCCATAACATGTTCAAATATAAAAGTCACATTGGCCTGGGGATATAGCTCAGTGTCACAAGTGCCTGCCTGGCAGGGGCAAGGTCCTGAGTTTGAGTCCTGGCACCAAAAAAAGGTCACATCAACAATTCCCATCCCAAAAAGATTTTAGAAATCTATGCAGAGTCCCCTAGAGTTCACTGCGTACAACTTCTTCTAGATCTTCTCTAACCAGTTCAAGTTTTACTTCTAAACCACTTAGCATCGCACATATTGTCACTATTCTTATGGTCTTCACTATTCAACTTATATTAATCACTTGTATTTAATTTATAACTCTTCTAGCAATGGCAGCCTAAATTTATAAAGAACTAGGACTGGTGATTTATTTTTGGAATTATTTTTATAGTACCAAGCACAGTGGTACATACATGTAATATGAAAACATAAAAGGAAAGGAAAGGAATTGACGGCTGTGGATTCTCTAATCACCTGTCCATGCATCCCTCTATACATGAATTTAAAACAGATTTATTGCATTCTTAGTATATGCTAGGATCTTTTCCAGGGTCTGGGAACAGAGCACCGTATAAAAGAGCAGGAGAAACCCTGCCCTCAGGGAGCTTTTATATTCTAGTCTGAGAAAGGAGAAAAGAGTAAAATATATTGCATGCTGTCATAACTACTGTGAGAAAAAGGGGAGAGGGAAATCTGAAATGTGGTATAGAGAAATAAATGTGGTATAGAGAAATAAATAAATAAATAAATACAAAGGGTGGCAAAGGAACACTTAACTGAGACGCTTTGGAATACAGACCTACAGGAACTGAAATAAGGAGTCCATGAATATCACAGAGAAAGTCAACCAAAAGTTGAAGTGCACAAGCCCCGTGGCAAGATGGAGCCTGAATGTTCAAAGAGCAGTGGAAGGCACAGGAAGGAGAGAGAGCAAAGCAAAGACAAGAGGAGGAAAGGAGATCGACAGGTTATACAAAGGAGGGAGATGATAATGGGTCCCTAGACGGCAATAATTTTGGCTTGAATTCTCAAGGGGTGGAAAGCATTGACTTGTAAGCAGAGGGTGACATGATCTGAAGTGCTATTGAAAGAAGCACTCCAGTTACTATGAGATGGAAAATCAGGTGGGTCTAGGTTCCTAGATGCCAAGTGAAGAAATTTCTTCAAAGTGGGTACTCAATAGTAGTAAAAACAGCCTAGGTAAACACAAGTAATAAATGACTCATTAGATTTGGCAAGGTAAAGTCAGGAGGAGCCACTTGGGTAGTACAGTAAGGAGACAATGTCCTCTGAGAACAGGAAAAGAAACTGGAGAAAGCCAGAGGAATACCCTTTGGTTGTTTTTTTCTTTGGGAAGCGGGGTGTTTGGTTTTGGTTTTGGTTTTGGTTTTTGAGACAGGGTATCGCTATAGAGTTCAGACTGGCCTTGAACTCGCTATGTTTTGTAGCCCAGGCTGGCCTTGAACTCACAGCGATCCTCCTGCCGCAGCATCCCAAGTGCTGGGATTACAGGTGTGTGCCACCTCACCCAATTACTCTTTGAAGGACTAGCTGTGTAAAGGGAAAGAGAAATAAGGTAGCAGCTGAAGGAGAAATGGAGTCATTAGGGTTGACAATGAGAAAGAGAGGCATCTTCACTGAAGAGTGTCTATGTAGGATATGCCTTCCTAAAGTAGTTTCCCCTGTTTTAGTTCATACCCTACTTCCTCCACAAGCCACCACCACTCCCTTTTCCCTTGCAAATGTCCATTAATAACCCTGCACACACAACTCCACTGTATCTAGGGCTGTTAACGAACATTCAAACACTAATCTCCCCCACTTAACGTATCTAACAAATATTGAGTAAAACTCCACCTCACGAAGGACCTCTGCTGAGAAGATCCCCAGACACGCATTCATGAGGCAAAGAACTACGGGGAAAAAAACTAGACGTGTAAACATGTAGATCACCCATAAGGTGAAAATGAGCTACTAGAGACACATGATGAAGGAACAGAGAAGTGTACAAACCCCTGCATCAGCCAGCCTTCTAGAACCACCGCCATTTCTGAAGGGTGCACCCTCAGTCCCAGTCATCGCATTCTGGCCCTTCCCTGGTCCCCTCTGGAATCTTCCTTCAGCCAGTTCTGTTGATTCTCTACTTTGTCCTAGAACCACTTCGCATTCTTCTCCCTCAACTGCTCTTTCATTTTGCTCCTCAGCTAGTGTCGCCTCTCCCGCTGTGGCCCCTACCAGCCCCAACCTGCTGGGTCCCTCAGACTGACCCTCACCCCTCCCTCACAGGAGTGAGGCCGCCCGCGCAGCCGCAGTCGGTGCCCTGACAGCCCAGGCCTCTGCCTGGATAACGACCTGGCCGGGCCGCCTTCCCAGGTTCCCGCGCGCGCGGCCCGGTCCCCGAGGTCACCTGACTGAACCCACCGCTCCGCCCACCGAGGAGCCCCCTGGGAGTGCGCAGGACCCGGCCACCGCCCCGGATCCAGGACGGTGGCTGAGTTGGCCGCTGAATGCGCGCCGACTGGAAAGTGCTGCGGCAGCGCTGAGGGCCCCGCCTCAAAAGACCTGTGACCTCACGGGCGGCTAAGGTGCCCCGGATGTGAGCGCGGGGTTCTCCGAAGCTCTGTGCCGCGTCTCCTGAGCCCAATTCCATGTCGGCTTCCGTCCACCCTTCAAGTACCTGCGCCCTCCTGTTATTCTAAGGCGCTTCAAGCTTCTGGCTTTCTGCTCTTCCATCGTGGGCAAGAACTCGGCGGCCGGTCGTCACAATTCTTTGCTGAAAAGAGTCCCAAGCTGCCCCGCGGCGTTCTAAGGCTTTCTTTTGAGAGACGAACACCTTGTGGGCTTGTGTTGGTTTAATTAGTCAAATCTTTTCGTGCCTCCTGCAGACACAGGAAATAATGCTGTCAAAGAAAAAGACGCCAATTGTATTTCCTGGCTCTTCTCAGGTATTACGCCCCTGAACGCTGTGTAAGTCCGAGGCAGTGAAATTGACCACTTTTAGACCATACTTGTGAATGTTCTGTCACATTAAGAACATTTTGAAAATATCCCCCAAAATGCCAATTTAAAGTATCTTTGAAAATAAGCATATCAGTACATTTGTTCACGTGTATTAATCAAACCGGAATTCTCCATAGTTTACATTGGGAGCAACAGCACGGACTTTAGAGATGGATCAATGCAATGGATCAATAGAATTCACATTCTATCTTTATGCAACTGGGCAAGTTACTTATGCTTTCTGAGTCAGTTTTCCCATTTTTCCAGGGTTGAAAGAATTCAGTGTATATGTAGTGCTTAAAGAATATTGCAATATTTCATTTTCTTCAGTGATACTACTGTGCTCATGTATATCTTAAAATCCTGCATTTACTTCTTTTATTTTTATTAATTTTTAAATGAACGACTCAATTGTATATATTTATGGGGTAAAAATGTGATGTTTTAATATGTGTACACTGTGGAATGATTAGATAGATGAAGCTTATTGACATATCCCTGGACTCACTTATTTTTTGTTGTTTTTTGTTTGTTTGTTTGTTTTGGGGGGGGGTTGGTTTTTCTCCGGTACCAGGAACCGAACTCACGACCTTGAGCTTGCCAGGCAAGCGCTTTTGCCGCTGAGCTAAATCCCCAGCCCTCTCACTTATTTTTTGGAGGGGTAAGACATCAGAAATTTACTCTCAGTAATTTTAAAATATACAGTATATTAACTATATATGCTATACAAGAGATTTCAAAATTGATTCCTGAGCCGGGCATGGTGACACACGCCTGTAATCCCAGCACTCAGGAGGCTGAGGCAGGAGGATCCCTGGGAGTTTAAGGCCAGCCTGGGCTACAAAGTGAGTTCAAGCCCAGCCTGAACTGCATAGTGAAACTCTGTCTCCAAAAAAAAGACAGTTTTGAAACTCTGTATCATTTTTATTATTTTTATGTTGTTTTGTTTTTGTCTTTGTTGTTATTTTGTTGGTTTTTGTCTTTAAAATAAAAGACAAAAAAATTTTTTCATAACTGAAACTTTGCACTCTTTGAATAGCATCTCCCATACCCACCTGGCCCAAACCCCAGCCTTTGGCAACCAACGTTCTTGTCTCCACTTCTGTGACTTCTGTCTTTCTGTTCCTACTTTATTTCACAGAGTATAATGTCCATCACATTCCTCCAAGTAGTTACATATTAAAGGATTTCCTTCTTAGGCTAAGTAATATTCCAAATTCATCCATCCATTGGTGGACACTTAGGTTGATTCCTTATCTTGGCTGTTGTGAACAGTGCAGCAACAAATGTGTGTGCAGGAGTTTATTATAGTGATATTATTCCTTCAGCTGATTGCTGATCATGGGTGTTTCATTTCTAGCCTTTTGAGGACCCTCCATGCTGTTTGCATGATGACTTCATTATCTCACATTCCCACCAACAGCATTCAAGGTTTCCCTTTTCTCTGTATCCGCAGAAACACTTACTCATCTTTATAATAGCCATTCTAAACAACATGAAGTTGTGCTTTTAATCTGTATTCTCCTGATGAGTAGTGTGTTAAACGTTCTTTCATAACCCTGTTGCCCATCTGTATGTTATCTGTATGTTATTTTGGGAAATGTCTATTCAGATCCTTTGCCCATTTTTAATTATTTTTTCTTCATATTGTTTGGACTCTTTATATGTATATTTTGAATATGAACCCCTGATCAGCTATACGGTTTGAATATTTTATCCCACACTATAGGTTTTCTCTTTTTGGAGGGTATACATATTCAGCAGTACATAGTCATTATATTCTTTGTGAGGAGTTAGTACATGTACATATCACATATTAATACTTTTTCTCATACCATAACCTCCCCTGGCTTCCTTCTTCCCTCCACCTCTTGGGTTCCTTCCCTTTTGCAAAAGACTTTTCTCCCTATTTCCTATTATCTTTCATTCTGCTCTTTGTATTGTGAAACCATGCAGTATTTAAAATTGTGTGTCTAGGGCCAGGGATATAGCTCAGCAGGCATAGCGCCTGCCTGGCAAGCACGAGGTCATGAGTTTGATTCCCAGTACCAAAACAAAAAATAAAAAATAAAAAATAAAATAAAATAAAACGACTGATTATTTCATTAACATTATGGTCTCAAAGTGCATCCATTTTCCTACAACTGACTCAAGGTTATCCTTTTTTATGGCACAGTAGTACATCATTGTGTTTAAATGCCACATTTTCTTTATCCTTTCATCTGTTGATGGACATATAGGCTGCTTCCACGATTTAGCTATTATGATTTATGCTGCTATAAACTTTCTCTTCATGCCGCTATTTCCTTTGCTGTGCAGAAACTTTTTAGTTTGATGTCATCTTATTTGTCTGTTTTTGCTTTCTATTGTCAGTACTTTCTGGATCATAATAAAAAAAAAAAACCCATTGCCCTGGCCAGTGTCAGGAGATTTTTCTCCTGTTTTCTACTAATAGTTTTACTGTTTCAAGTCTTACATCTAACTCATCCACTTTGAGTTGACTTTTGCATGTGTGGCATAAGGATTCAATTCTGCATGTGAGTCGTTTTCTCAACACCATTTATTGAAGACTTTCATTTCCCCATTGTGTGTTCTTGGCTGCTCACTGAAAATCAATAGCCTATAAATGCATGGGTTTATTTCTGGGCTGTGCTCTGCTTTAAAACCAGTGTAATGCAGTTTTGATTACTATGGCTTTGTATTATATTTTGAAATCAGGTAGTATATTGTCTCTAGATTTGTTCTTTTTGCTCCAGATTGACTTTGACTTTTGGGATATTTTCAGGTTCCATATGAATTTTAGAATGTTTTATCTATTTCAGTGAAAAAATAACATTGAAATTTTGATAGGTATTACACTAAATCTGTAGATTGTTTTTGAGTAGTGTGAACATTTTAACAATATTAATTCTTCTACATGGTGGTGCACACCTGTAATCTGAACACTCAGGAGGCTGAGGCAGGAGAATCACCATGAGTTTGAGGCCAGCCAGGTCTACATAGAGTTCAAGGCCCATCTGAACTGCACACTGAGATCTTGTCTCAAAAAAATTCTTCCAATTCATAAACACAATATATCTTCCCATTCATTTGTGCCCTCTTTAGTTGGTTTCATCAATGTTTTATAGTTTTCAGTACACAGAGCTTTCTCATCCTTGGTTAAGTTTATACCTAATATTCTTTTGTTGTTTTTGCTTTTGCTATTTATAATCAATTGTTTTCTTAATTTATGTTTTGGGTAGTTCATTGTTAGCATATGGAAATGCTACTATTTTTTTCTAGCTTTGTAACAGCAACCTTGCTAAATTTAATTATTACTTCTAAAGGGGGGGCTGGGTGGAATCTTTAGAGTTTTCTATATGTAAGATTATATCATTGTAGAGAAAAATATGGGTGAGGAGTAAGGAAGTGGATAGAAAATGCTTCAGGGTGTTTACGAAAATAAAAGACAACCGGGTTTGTTGGCACACACCTGCAATTTCAACACTCAGGAGGCTGAGGCAGGAGGATTGCTACAAGTTGGAAGCCAGCCTGGGCTACACAGTGAGTTCAAGGCCAGTCTGAACTACATAGCAAGACCGTGTCTCAATAAATAAATAAATAAAATATATAGTCTCATCACTCAGGTTACTCAAAGACTCTTTAGGGATATAAACCCAGGGATATTTTAAAATATCAAAGAATTATAGGCACACCCCTCATGAACATTTGTCCTCTCCTATTAGGAAACTTTTTTTCCTCTTGCTTAATCCCCTAGCTAGGACCTCCAGTACTATGTTGAAAAGAAGTAGTGCCGGGCATGGTGGTGCACGCCTGTAATCCCAGCCCTGGGAAGGCTGAGGCAGGAGGACTGTTGCGAGTTTGAGACCAGCCTGGGCTACAAAGTGAGCTCAAGGCCAGCCTGAACTGCAGAGTGAGACCCTGTCTCAAAAAGATTAAAAAAAAAAAAGAAAAGAAAAGAAGTAGTAAGAGTAGACATCCTTCCTTTCCGTACCTTATCTTCAGGAAAGCATTGGGTATGATGGGCTTGTCATATATGGCCTTTGTTGTGCTGAGATAAGTTCCTTCTATACCTAATTTGTTTTTACTGTGAAATGCTGAATTATTTCAAGGGTTTTTTGTGCACCTGTTGAGATAACCATGTGGTTTTTGTCCTTTGTTCTGTTAATGTGTGTCACATTCATAGCAGATTTGCACATGTTGAACCATGCTTGCTTTCTAGGGATAAATCCTACATCATCATAGTGAATGATCTTTTCAATGCACTGTTGAATATGGTTAGCTAGCATGTTGGTGAGGATTCCTACCTCTGTGTTCATGAAGGATGTGCCTATAAGTCTTTAGTATTTTTTAAATGTATATAGTTTATCTCTCTGAAGAGTCTACAAGTAACCTGAGGGCTGAGACCAGGTTTTTTATTTTTGTAACCACCCTAAACTGCCCTCCATACCTGACTTCCCTACTCCTGTCCCGTGCTTATAGTCATGTCTATTGATGAAGTCAGTCCCGTTTTCTGTCTGTTCATTAACTATCAACTTCTTATGTGTAAGGGTTTTGATGGGTTCAGTCCGTGTGCTGATCAAGACTGGGTATACTTAACCAATCTTCAGCAGTTGCAGTTTTTATTACAAAATCTACTCATGAGTTTGTTATTAATTAGTTCCACAGATCTCCCTCCAGGAGCACCAAAGGCATATTAGGTAAGATTAGGTTATTTTAATAATAGAAAACCTCTAATAATGATATAAGCAAGATAGAATTTTATTTCTTGTTCACATTCAAGAACTTGGAGGGCAGTCATTCTGGGGCTGATATTATGTACCGAATTTTCAGGGACATAGCCTCCTTTATTTCATCCCAGCAGTGTGCCTCATCAAAGTGCTCAAAAACCTTCTGAAGTTTTCATAGTACCTCTCATCCAAGCAATAGCATTTCAAGAAGCTTAAAGACTGTCTTTTAGCCGAGGCCCAATGTAAAAAAAAAAAAAAAACTATCTCGAACAGATTTGTGAGTATAGCTTTTGTCTCATGCACTGAAACCCAACAAGATTCAAAGACTCATAAATTTTTGGAGAATTATATTGCCAGAAACACTGTCCATTAGACTGAAACCAAGAAAGTGCAAAAAGGAAAGAGGGCTTTCTACATTTCTACTAGCAGGAAGCCAGCTCAAAAAACTATTTAGGTGCAAATACATGCTACCTTTCCTGAAAGAAGGATGACTGAGAGGATGAAACCAAGAGACCAGAGGGTGAAACCACCACAGATAATTATTCTGAAGCTCAGAATGTGGAGTTGCAAATCTCTTAAGTGGTTCCTCAAAAAACTAAAACTTAGAGGTTCCTTTTGACCCAGCTATTCCCCTTCTAGGTATCTTCCCAAAACAGTTAAAAGCATCACATCACAACAATATATGCACACCCATTGTTACGGTTGATACATTGTGTCAACTTGGGGAGTCTAGAGGTTTGGGTAAGTGACTTAGCAGGAAGCCAGAGTGCTTACTTTGCATACATCCTGAGCCTGCGGAGGAGGGGGGAATGGAGATTATGTGAGAGCTACACGCCCCTCAGGTGGGGGTAGCCTGTTTACAATGTAAGGGAGGGAAAGAGGCTGCTTGGCACCTTTCTGAACGTTTGCTCTGGCTGCTTTGCTGTTCGGCTGTCTTTCCCCACTTCGCTCTTGTTGCTTTGCTATTTTCTGCCTCGGAGCCAGCCAAGTATGGACTGAAACCTCCACAAACTGTAAGCTAAATAAACCTTTCCTTCCTTCATTTTGGGCGTTGGGTGTTTTGTCTCAGCAACGAGAGAAAAGTAACCAAGACACCCATGTTTATAGCAGCACAACTTGTAATAGCTAAATCTCAGAAATAGCCCACATGCCCATCAACAGATGAATGGATAAAGAAAATGTTTTCATATGCAATGGAGTACTACTCATCCATAAATAAGGAAGAACTTGAGACATTTTTAGCAAATGGATACACCTTGGGAACATAATTTTAAGTGAAACAGACATACGTGTTTAAATATCACATTGTTTCTTTTCTGTGAGAATCTCAAAGGGTAAATAAGGACCAAAATGGAAGACAGACATTGGGAAGTAAGAAAATGTGCAAACTGGAGGGGGAACAACGGAGGAGGCAGAGAGAAGGAAAGGAATAGGGACTGAAAAATAAGAATGGAAGGAGAACAATATTTCTGTAAATGGAGGGGCAAGAAGAATTGAAGACAAGAGAGGGAAATGGGCAAAAAAAGAATTGCCGTGTTACACAGGTACCATTCCCTATGATGAATGCAATCATTATGCATGTCAAAAGTGCACTAATAAAATTAATTTTTTAAAAACCTGTACCTAAGTGGTTTTCGTTTTTGGTTTTTTTTTTGTTGTTGTTTTGTTTTTTTTTTGGTTTTTCTCCGGTACCGGGAACCAAACTCACGACCTTGCGCTTGCCAGGCAGGCGCTTTTGCCGCTGAGCTAAATCCCCAGCCCCCCTAAGTGGTTTTCATAACTGCTATGACCACTGACTTCTGTGCACCGTTTTTCTACCTGTTGGAAAAGACATGTCCGTAGCACTTGTCCTATCTGTCCACCATTTTATATTGGTTGTTGTGGTAAAGGAGCATATCTTTCTACTTTAGTTCACAGAACTTCAGATTGAGGGATATGTACTTAAATAGCTGTATATGAGGTACTACACCCCCAAGAAACTCCTTGTGCACCTGTTTAGAGGGTAATCTTCTAAACTTTGAGTTGATGCTATACGTAAGAATTTGGGGCTGTAGGAAGGATGAGATTATTTTTCATGTGGAACCATTTGGAGCCATAAATTTTTCATGTGGAATCATACATAATTTGGAGGTAGAACATGGACAGTCCTCCTAACGTATTAGGCAAATCACAATTGTGAAATATTTTTCTTACAGAATTCTTTCCAGAGACAGTGCTAAAGAACAACTACAGTGGACTTTTTACCTAAAGGCTCTTAAGGTTTCTAAATACTGCTTTCTATGTGCGTTCTTTGGCATTTTGCCAAAAAATATATAGCTGGTAAAAAGTGTCTCCTCTACCTAAGGGCTTTGCAGGATGTCACCTAAACATTAACAGCTGCAAGGAAGTCAGTTGTGCTCCTGACCTTCTAATTTTCCTTTCACATACGAACCATTCTTAGGTGGCCATACGGGGTGGAGTTTTAGATTTTTATTTAATAGTATACCTAATTTAATCATCAGCTTCTGAAGTTTCCTACTTGCATGCTGTAGCCGAACTAAACAAATGAGAATATGTATTTCCAAAAATTTTTTGTATTACAAGATTTAATAGAAATTATTTTTAAACGGTTTAGTTTGCAAAGAATCTGTTATTCCATTGTATCGTGAAAACTCTAGTGTAATTCCCAACCTGCTTGTAATTGGCCTTGGTGGACATTAGATGGCTCTGTTACTGCAGAGTTCAGACTACTGAAGCCAAAACTTAAAGAAACAGAAATGTGGTTTAACATATAAGAGGCAGAAAAAGCAAAGTTCAGTATATACTAACCAACATTTTTCCTTTTCCTTAGAAAGTTCTCTGTTTTCACACAAGGTCTTCTGTTTTCATCCAGAGATGTTATCAGTTACCATGATGTAAATTTTAAAAACAGTGAATCCCACAAGATTTCACCATAAAAGGGCTTAATCTATGTCCACATAATGCTTTTATGATGTTATTCTCTGTATTATGTTCAAAAATGTATATTAGGTAAAAAGTTAAGACTAAAAGGTAAAGATATGTTTTTAAGGTTCTGTAAAGTACTTCACTTCCACATTGTCACTGCTCAATAAATTTAGGGTCAGGTGTGGTGGTACCTGCTTGTAATCCCAACACTGGGAAACTGAGGCAGGAGGCTCACAGGTTCACGGCCTTGGCAACTTAGCTACTTAGAGACCCTGTGTCAAAAAACAAAAAGGAGCCAGAGATATAGCTCAGCAGCATGGCACCCGCCTGGCAAGCACAAGATCCCAAGTTTGATTCCCGGTTCGAAAAAAAAAGGGCTGGAGGTGTGGCTCAGGGAAAAGACCCTGGGCACAATCCCCACAGCAGGAAAAAATTAAATAGCCAAAGTAATGTTACAAATTATAACATCATATTTTGTCATCATATACGATAATAATGTTAATAATTAAGATTTTGATCCCAACTCTTCTGCATAAAATTTTTTTTTTGCTTGTAGGTTGGTAGGATGGTACACATCATGTTTTCTTAGCTATCTGCCACGTATTGTTAGGCGGTTATCTGCTGTCGCTGCTGCTGTTGTTGTTGTTGTTGTAACAGGACTCCAATCTATTTAATTTCTCATAGGAATCTGTGGTTTTGAGTGACCTCAAGAAGCCCAAGATCACTTCACTTGGAAATGGACCAAAATGTTTTTAATTCTGTGTGGATGGATACTTGGTTTTTGGAATTTATTATCCAAAGAATGTTCTTTAACAGTAGAGTAACTCAGCCGACTTACTGACTAAACTTTTTTCTGGATCAGAAGGGTACAATTGACTCCTTAAATCAATTGTTCCCATGCAAGCATGCAGCAGAATCACCAGTAGGGTTTACTGAAACAGACTGCTGGGCCTCAAACTCAGATTTTCTAATTCAGTAATCGTCGTCACATGCTATATAAAAATATTTTGGATTTGAGTCATTTCTAAGAAAATGGATGCACCTTGAGACCATAATATTAGGTGACATAAATAAGACTCATGAGCTTAAATATCACATGGTTTATCTTATATGAGAAACCCAAAATATAAATAAAAAGCAAAATAAAACTCAAAATGTAAATGAAAGCAAAATAAAAGATAGATACTAGGCAATAGATGGATCTTTTTCAAGTGGGAAGGGGAGGGGGAGAAGACGAAAAGAGGAATGTCATCAGTATTACTGCAAAAGTGTAATAATAAAAAATAAAAATTTAGGGAATAAATAAAAAGTTTGGTCAATGACAGACAGTATACGTGACAGTGGTCCTGTAAGATTATGATGGAGCTGAAAATTCCTATCAGTGACATCATAGCAATCTTAACGCTGTGCAATACATTACTCACATGTAAACAAGCCTGTACTATTAATTAAAGTATAATAACACACAGAGTTATGCACAACAGCGTGTGACAGTAACAATGAACAATTGTTAGTGGTTTATGTACTCACTGTACCATACTTTATTAGAGTGTGCTCCTCCTACTTATTAAGAATAAGTTTACTGTAAAACAGCATGCTGTGTTATACCAGCAGCAGCCTCCTGCATCTCAGGGTTACTGTATCTCTCAATTCCATCAAGAGGTCACAGAAAGTGACTCAGCGGCACTGTCTACATTTGTATGTATACACTCTATGATATTCGCACAATGAAATTGCCTTACTTGCTTCTCAGAACTTAAGGTATTTCTGGACTGGGACCTATCAGTTTTCATTTCTAATGAATTTTTAAGTGATACTAATATTGCTGAGCCTGGGACCACACTTTTGATACCCACTATCTGAAGTAAAAGTTGTGACCTGTAAATGGTCCTGCAAATAATCTGTCATTAAGCCTTTACCCGTTTATGCTTCCCAAGAATAGGCTCTGTTGAAATCTGTTCTGTTGAAATTGCACAAATTCCTAAATACTTCCCCTTTTAAAAATCAAGTTCTTAGAACAGTGATACACCTTACTTATTTTGAAAATCTGATGAAGTCTAAAGAAAAGCTCTGAACTCTAAAACTAGCTTCGGTTCCCACAGCAGTCACCATTCTGTTCCATTTGGAAACCTGCTTGTTCTAAAATAATCATGTGTAAGGCAATGACACTTGTTCATTTCACCCCAAGGAAACAGAAATAACAACACAGGAAGCACTGGACAGCCTTAGGCCAATCCTTTTTAGAAAGCATATTTAATTCACTGTTGCACAACTCAAACGGAGGAGGTGGTGAAGAAGTCAGGAAGGCACTTACATAATGTTAACCAGGACTACTTCAAAAGAAGTATCTTGACATCATAGACAGTTGAGGAATGTCTGAGAGGTAAAGAACTGACTCCTAATACAGGAATTTCTCGGTGATGTTCGGTTTCCCATTATTGTGCACAAGATCCGGAGACTGGACAGAAATTACCTCCAAAATGACAGGGCACAATTGTTTGCTCTGCGTTGCCTGATGCCAGAATACTATTTACATGTTCATCCCACATGAGACCAAAAATGACTTCTGTTCACTGTCTGGTGACAGCTATCCCCACATACTGACAAACAGTACTGGTCTTCAAGGCCTCTGAGCCTCATCCCAGAAGCTCAGACAAGATCTCTGGGTTTTTTTCATCTTTTGAGTAAGTTTCCTTCCTCCTTTGATATAACTTCTTCATATAAACCATCTTATCTACAGACAATGCCCAACTACTGCTCTCATGGACTCTGTATCAGTAGCCAAAGGTTATAGTTTAGGTTATCAAAAACTTCCTGGTTTTTGATCATCCTTTTCCCTCCTCTATCATATTCCTATTTCCTAAAGTAAGCGTAACCCATGGGAAAAGGCAGGGTTTAGTCACTGCCTCATTCTTCATTCCAAGGCTAATTTTCAGTGTTAACACCAGGGTGAACAACAGTTCTTCCTATTGATTCTTCCTAAAATGGGGGTGCAAATGTTTGCCAAGTGAACTAGGAAAGGTAACTAAGTGGAGCTCAAGGGTTAGATCAGGAGACACAGCTGTTAACAAGTGTTGGAGAAGGGGCTCTGGAAGAGAGTAGGATGTGACTCTCGTTGAGAAAGTTGATAGGGAATGACACCTGCTGTTGCCAAAGCCGGGTCTCTCACACCTCTCAGCTAAAAACAAACACTAGTACTATCCCACAGAATCTCCTTTCTCGTCAGTGCTGGGACTCAAACCCAGGACCTTACGCTTGTATGCACTCTACTACTGAGCTACATCCCAGGATCATACCTGTGTGTTTGATGCCACAGAGAACCCCAGCATCTTAGAGTGTTGATAATAAAAGAGCTGCTCCAAGATTTAAGACTGGCTAGTGTAAACCCATCATTTTTCAAACTAGAAAATTGAGTCCTGAGAAAAAGCAAGCAACTTTTCCTAATTAATAGTAAAGATTCTTTAAGCTGCAACACTGAGGCCAGAATTCAGATTTTCTGATTATCATTCATGGATCTTTCCCTTTTCCTTGGGTGGTGGGACTTGGTTTTTCATGTTAGCTAAAAGTCAGTACCAATGGAGCAAATGCTCTTGCTGGGACACAAGAACAGTCTGTCCTCCTCAGGAAAGTGCAGCATGTCCATACATGTCCATCCCCACGGACTTCCAGGAAGAGACAGCCCCTTACAGGCCCAGCAACTGGGGAGCAACTTGCCACCAATAATGCCCAATGGGAGTGTCTGCACCCCATCCAAGTCTGTGGGGTTTTTTAGGCTTTCTTTGTCATCAAATAAAATTACAAACGTAATACAAGTATGTTCATGGACATGTTCCTTTTAGATCAAGCAAACCTCATTATGGTTTCAGGTACCCCAGCGAGAAAAAATACATTAAAATTGCACTTACGGCCTCCATATTAAAGACGTTAAAATGAGGTTGTCCAGCCCATAGAAGAACAAACCACACATGCTGATGGAATTGGCCCAATTCCATCCTGGCCTTTATGCTCAGCAAACTCATGAGAATGACTTCTTCACAAAACACCCAAGAGGTAGGTAGATACAACCCCCCTCGTGGAAGGATGTGGCACACAGCGGCCCAGAGTTAGGTTGTAGAGGTGCCTGGGACGAGGGGTAGAAGGTCTGGAGAGGGAGAGTCCGACCTCTGGCCCCGACCAGAGCACTCTCCCTTGGAGGAATAGCACTTCAGGCACGAAAGGAATCCCTGTACGTAACAACTGTCTGCAACAGTGAGGGTGTGGAAGTAGGAGGGAAAGAGATGGTGCTAGTCTAAGGCTGACACTTCTAGAAACTTCCAGGGGAGAGCTGCCAAATTAGGCAAATCTGAGGATAGCAGATATGAACTAGAGGATGGTAACACATGCCCCGGGCCACACATGACCCCTGAGTGACCCTGCCGCCCTCACTCCCAACAGGTGGGAGGGTTAGTTGTTAAGGACTCCCTTCATGAGAGACCCCAGCTGGACCGAAGTGACGGCAAGAGGCACAGGCAGCCCTGAGGGTTCAACTCTTCCCTGACTCACCCTCCAGCCTGAGAGAAGGGAAAGGAGACAGAGGCAACCGGGCTGCACGCTCCAGCAGTTCCTACCATCGATGGCAAGAGCCGGACCCAAGAAACCATAGACTTACGAACACAGATGGAGCCCAGGCTTACTGTACCTTCCTGTGGAAGTAGAGACCTCAGCTCTGTCCTATGCTTCAGGGACAGTGGCCTGACAGGGAAAGCTGGGCTCTCACTGAGGTAATGAAGAACACCTGCTCAGCTCCATAGATCACCGTCAAGCTGAGCAGGAAAAATCCCTGCAGGGGGCATTCTGAGGACAATAGCAGGCTGAACTCTGCTTGTGGGGACACATCACAAGTTTTAAATTACACATTTCCCCACATGCAACACACACACACACACACACACACACACACACACAGCCCCACACTTCCACATACTGACATTCTCCCAGCCCACCCCACTCCAGGTCCCAAATCCCGCCCCCAAACACTGTCCTCTGTAAACACGATGGCACAGACTCCCGCCATCCGGCATGGTCTGCTGGTGATCTGAGGATGACTGCTTGCTGTTAGGTGCCCCGGTAGGTGATATTGGTGAAGGTGGATGTGGCCTCTTTATAGAGTGGGTTGTTGCCCTGTGGAGAGAACAGAAGAATCTCTTACAGTGAACTGCTCAGTTCTTCCTTCCTCTGAGTTATTTGCTGAAATAATTTTTAATTTGTCCTCATCTCATCTGAAGGGTTAAATTTCATCTGAAAGGTCTGCCCGAGATTTACCATGGGAGAAACAAATACACCTTACTCACATTTTTCCTCTTAAGATGGTAGGAAATAGGAAGAGGACAGATAAAGTGGCCATCTTGCCACTAGTTCTAAAGGGTTCAAATCAGCCCATCCTTTTATTTTTTTTTTTTTTCAGCCCTCTTTGGAGATTCAAAACATTCTACATTCTAGGAGAGATTTTTCCCAGCCTCTCCTATCTCCTCCTGTCTTCCCTACTTTTTCTGTTGCCTTTCTCCCATTTTCCTTCATTATGGTAATGCTGGGGGGATGTGGGCCTGAAAGAAAAATGTAGCAGGTACAGAGGACAGATCTGCTGAAATAATTCCCAATTTGTCTTCATCTCCTTTCTTAAATCACTGCCTACACAAAAAGAGCAACAAAAAATGTCAAATTCCCTAAGATTAAGGAGGCTTTAATGGCAGCTTCAAGAGGCCCCGCACACTCTTGTGTGCCTCAGAGGTTCAGGACATTGTACACGGCCTTGACAGAAACACCCCAGCTTGGTGGGGCCCGTGGATGCAAAGCCCTGAGCTCACCATCAAAACGGGAACAAACTTTCAGCCTAATCCTGAACCTTCAGGGAGTCAAATAGCCCTGTGGAAAGTCTAGAAAAAAAGTTAAAATGCAGAAGATGGGTCAAAGGAGAACAGAGTAAAATTAAATATATAAAAGTTTCTCAATAAAATTGAGTTAAAACAGGAGAGGCAGCAGGAAGCGTACGAGAAGAGCCTGATTTGGAAGCTACTATGTCACCATCTGAGGAGAAAGAAGAGAACAAGGTAGTACAGAGAGCCCTTCCCGATCCTCGTCACGGCCCAGGAGGTTCTTACTTGCAATCCCATGAAAGTTACTGGAATTCTAGGGAGTTAATTCCAACCTACCACTTCCAGTGCAACCCATGGGGAGAATAAAGACACTAAGGCACGTGTGTAGCTATGGGGAGCCAAGGGGTCCTAAGTCCAGCCATGATGATGGCCATCCGGAACAAAGGCTTCAAACCCAGGTTTTATTCCTTTGTGAAGAAGGGAGTGGCCTGAGGATGAGTGACTGTGAGAACCGTGGGAAGCAGGTGAGTGCCGTGAGCTGGGCTGGGTGGGAGGCCTGAAATCACCTCTGCCAATGCAGAGAGGAGAATCTGCTGAAAGAGTCATCTGCATGACACAACTGAGATAGTGTCTAATGTTTTGGTGCTTCAGCTCTGATGTGTAACCTTTCAAGCCCCAGGAGGTCACAGCCTCTACCCCAGGGCTCAATTCCATTGGACAGCGCGGAGCACTGGCTCACACATCCCGCCTCATCCCGGCTCACTCAAGGGAGCAATGGGGCGCCCGGGGAAAACACGCCTGCCATCTCCAGAGATGACCATCAGCACCTGGGCTAGACTGATACGCATTGCTTAAAGCCAACTGAAGGGGTAAGGAAAAGTCCCAGCCAGCTCTGTACATATCAGTACATGGAAATAGGGTCAGGCTCAGCCAAAATGGAGGCAATTGCTCCTCCTTCAAAGAAAACCTAACCCTAACCTAACCCTAACCCTAACCCTAACCACACAAAAAGTAATTCTTATAGTTACCTAATTCCCTCCCACAACCAAGCAAGCTACTTAAACTTCTCTGCATTCAGTCCCTTATCTACCAAATAGGAACAATAATACTGTCCACCACATCGGGTTGTTACAGTAATGAAATACATGTACAAAGCATTTAGAAAGAGTTCTTGGCACATGGCAAATCCTCAGTAAATGTTAGCTAGTATTTTTTTTACTATTTGCATTTAATGCTTTGGACTTCACTAGTGTATGTTCATTACTATATAATGCATGTTCTCAGTGAGGGTTTGCCCTGGCTCCTCAAACGGCGAGTAAGTTTCTTTATTCATTTCTTCACAGTGTTAGAGCAGAGCTGAGTCCTATTTCTGTTCCATCAGTGCTCATGACACAGCCCTTGATCTCTGTGCTACCGTGTGGTAGAAGATCAAGTGGCTTGCTGGAAGCTTAAAGACAATGGAACAGTAGACCATCTCCAAATTCCCAGAACAGAGGATAACCACAATGCCAGCTGGACCTGGCCACCCTCAGTGTCTGCTTCCACTTTAGATTCTTGAGTCAGAGTTAAGAAAGCACCCCGCTCAGCCCAGCCTCTTACTGTGTCCCATTTCGCTCTGGCTCGTTCTTCCTCAAACTTAGCGAATTCTTTCCGGTCGTGGATGGTGATGAGGAGCTTCCAGATAAGCAGAGTAGCAAGGCCGATGAGCAGAATGGCCCCCATCACTGACAGCAGGACCACCAGGATGTCAGGGCCCTTGGGACACTCTGTCAAAAAGAAAAAAGCAGGAATCACTTGAACTGCCTAGGTACAATGTCTTCTTGACGAAGGAATAAAGAATCTGAGGCTCCTCGGGAGGCTGCAGCAGAGGATCACAAGTCTGAGTCTAGCCTGGGGAATTTAGTGAGACCCTGTCTCAAAGTACAAAAAAAAGGAGGCGGGAAATATAGCTCAGTGATAAAGTACTTGCATAGCACGTATGAGCTCAGGGGCTAAATTCCCAGCAGAGAGAGAGAGAGAGAGAGAGAGAGAGAGAGACAAAGAGAGACAGACAGAGACAGAGACAGACAGATAGACTGACTAAGGAAACCAAGCGGGTAGTAGTAACAGGAATCTAAAGTGATTGCTGCCTGGGTTTGAATCTTGGTTTAACACCGACTTCACTATGAACTTTGGCAAACTGACCTTTCCTGGTATCTTCTGCTTCTCCATCTTTAAAATGGAGAAAATATTCAAACTTACCTGAACACTTGTTATGAGGAATAGTTAAATGCATTTACTGCAAACAGCATCAAGCACAGAATAAGTGCTCAATAAATATCAGCTACGATTGTTACTGGTATTCTTATACCCAGTCTTTCATTAGTTTATTAGCCTACTTAGCCCCTGCAGGCATTCGTGTCTATCACCCTGGTTCCAACATTTACATCCCTGAGGGTTGTGAACCTAGTAACCTTTTATAGCACGCTTAGAGGCCACGAGGCCTGGCAGCTACAACAATATCTGGCATTCTTTCCCAAAATATTTAGTCATCCAAAGTGCTAATTCTGGGGCTGGGGATTTAGCTCAGCGGCAAAAGCGCCTGCCTGGCAAGCGGAAGGTCGTGAGTTCGGTTCCCGGTCCCGGAGAAAAACAAAAAAAAACAAAAAAAAAACAAAAAAAAAACAAAGTGCTAATTCTGTTTGGCCCCGGCCAACAACCAAAGCAACAGTCAGTGCCCCTCTGCGGGTCAGCGATTACCCAGAGCTCTGCTTCCCATAACCCTCCAGCGTTTGACCAGTGACCTCACTCAGGCAACCACCTCGAGTGTTACGAAACCAGGTGTTTGTGTTGACGAGTCTAGAGAGGAAGTCACACCCACTTCGCACACTACCTCCCACCTTCTCTAAGTGTACCCCCTATGCTCACCACACACAACATAGACACAGCCACCGCCGCAAACCAAGCTGGTCATTTCCAACCCGCCAAATTGCGACCTGACTATAAATAAAGGAGAGCCTGGAGAGAAACCGTACATCCAGTGCCTGAATTCCCAGGAGTGAAGGACCTCCGTTCTTCTGGGAAAAGTAATTATGAATTCCCTGGAAGCTCTGGGTAGGACTGGCCCTTAAATCTCAAAGTGAGCTTCTTTAATTCTGCTGTCAGTATGGACAGGGCAGGTAGAGTCACAGGAGGTCTTCAGGGGAAAACAACCTGTCACTCATCTCTCTCACCAGGGGTGGGGCGCAGGCTTCCTCTCGGGATCACCCTTCCTGCCACACTGTGGATCTACTGTGAGTGACGCAAAGTCAGGAAAGCCCCAGGTGGGCTGGAAGATTCAGCAAACAAAATTACTCATACATTACTCATGCAGGTCCAGATAAATTTTAGTTTCAGATAAACAAGTTATTTTTAGTACGACTATGTACCAAATATTGTGTGAAACATACTACATTTTATCTGGCAACCCTCGCTGAGAGTGAAGAAGTCCTAGCTCAAGAACCCACTCTGTGTGTCTTATCCCCATTTGACCAATCTTCCCTGCCCTCGAAAGAGGCCATCTGCAAGACTATGAGTTGGGGAAGAGAAAAAGAGTAATACCCTCTGCGCTGGGCCCCCAGCTTCTGCACTCTCCTTAAAGCCAGAGCCTACAGAAATGGGTGGAGATGGGGGAGAGAGAGAAAAGGCAAAGCTGGGTAGGAAATGTGGGTCTATGGCTAGAGGAAGCAAAGCAGGCTGCCCCATCAGCAGAGCAGCCCTGGGGAAAATACAACAGAGCGGGCTACTGCAAAGGTAGAGCACTCGCCTAGCATGCACAAAACCAGGGGTTCAATCCCCAGCACTACAAAATAAAAAGGAAATCTGGGTGTCTGGACCTGGGGTCCCCTTCCCTAGTGGGAAGGAGTCTACTGGCAGAGACCCTGAAAGTTTCCACCAGGGTGTATCTGTATCTTCCGGGGTTATCACCACCTTTTTCACCCATAACCTTAAGCAGTAGGTTCCAGTCTCAAAATCCCATGCCAAAAGATTTGGGTAAGTGATTCAGAAGGGACACAGCAAGTTTTAGCAAAGGGACAAAGTAATGTTAGACCCAAAAGGAAGGATATAATGCCTTTCTGAAATAAGAAAGGACAAAGATACAGGAGCATGAGGGTAAAAAGTATCCATGCAGAGCATTAACGTGGGAGGTGGATACCTATGAAGAAGTCAGATCGAACCAGTCCACGTCTGCTTCCTGTCAGCTTTCCCTGGAATCACTAAATAAAACTAAGGTGACATCATCCTTTCTTTACCTTCCTTTTCCCCACAGTGAGAGTTCTAGGAAGCACTGACAGATAATATCCCAGATGGGGACACTTATGCTATCCTCTGCGGTGGAGCTAGCAATTCCCTGGATGATACAGACGTGGCTGCCGTTGGGGAGACCCACACAAAATGGCTCCTACAGGCTTACCTGCGTCCCTTTTATCACTTTCATCGCTTCCTTCCCTAAGCAACCAAAATTATCCTAGCAGATACCCAGATGGACTCAAGCCCCCGTGTGTCCTAGGAATAACCAGTTCTACTAGTTCATTCAAACTTCATTGATTACATACCTTCTTTGTAGATTACTAAGTATAGAGATATGACAGTAGATAAGACAGACATTACTCCTCAATTCGTGGAGCTTAGGATCTACTGAGCAGATGATTAAAGAAGCAATTTAATTTTGGCATAATGACAGCCCTTCTAAAGGAAGCCCAGATGCTGTGAGAATCACACAGAAGTACCACACCTCGTCAGCGTCAGCAGCGTGGAGGCTGGAGGAGGTCTTAGAAGGCGCCTGCAGGAAGTAACGTGTCTAAATCAGAGGCCCTCAAATAGTGGGGGATATTCCAGTTACCAGGAGCACCAGCAAAGAACACAGAGATGTTAACTTGTGCAAGTAGGGCAGGGCTCAGGGTGTTTTTTAGAATTAAACTGAAAGCTTATCGCAGAAAAGAGATGCATCAGGCTACCTCAAGCAGAGCAGATTAAGAAGCAAAGCAGGCTGCCCCATCAGCACGGCAGCCTTGGGGAAAACACAGCAGAGCCGGCTACTGCAAAGGCACAGCAGCCTGGTCCC